TTTTCATAACGGTACTAACTTTCGAATTTTTTTTTTCCGTTTGTGAACTTCAGAGCGTAATTTCACCACTTTAGTCAAATGAAATCGTCTTTCTTTATTAAGTGAAAGTTGTTCAGCGTGGTCGAAACTAGTTGTATATAAAATTTCATGGATGTAAGTGTAATACTTGTGAAGAAAATCGCATTTTTCATAATGATACTAACTTTCGAATTTTTCTTTTTTATTTGTTAATTTCAGAGTGTACTTTCACCACTTTGGTCAAATGAAATCGTTGTTCAGCAAGATTAAAACTAGTTGTGTATCAAATTTCATGAGTGTAAATGTATTACTTTTGGAAAAAATTGCATTTCTCATAATAGTATTAACTTTCAAATTTTTTTTTTCTGTCTATTAAATTTAAAGTGTAATTTCCTTACTTTGGTCAAATAAATTAAGTTTTTTTATTAAGTAAAACATGTTCAATATTTAAAAAAACTACTTACATTTAATTTTTTTTCTCGGTAAAAATTTGCAAAAAAATTTTTTATAATTCTGGCTAAATCATAATTTCTGCCAACATTAATAACGGTGAAAATCACCGCCGGTGAGATTTAGCAATACCCAATTTATAATGCCAACCTAAATTTGGCTAAAATTGAAATTTCAGGTTATAGGTAATATTACGTTTACATAATATAACATTATTTTTAATAATTATGTATATATTCATATTCATTTAGTTCTTAAAACCATATTTATAAACTTTAAAAAGTAAAAACTTCATTACCTATTATAAGTCTATATTAATATAGTAAACTCATAAAATATTAAGAAAACTTTTCTAATCTTTTTCTTTTACTTTTTTTTAAAAATATTTTATAATTATCTTTTATTTTAACATTATTTAGATAGATATAAAAAAATTTTTTATTTATTTATTTTTATTTATTTATAGTATATATATATGTTTATGATTTAATAGCTATTAAATATAGCCAATAAGAATTTTTTTTATAAATAAATAGTTTTTATTTTATTTTTACACCAAATAAATTAAAATCTAAAAAAATATTAAATAAATTATAAGTATGGTGCTGGAAGGACCCCGAAAAATACATATGGAGGTCATAAATGATCAGAAAGATTTTGACCTAAAATAAGCAACTTTTTAGGGCCGGAATTATGATAATGCTGGCCTGTATCAAAACGGACAATAAAATTTAGGCCGGCACTATCTAAAAAAGGCAAGATTTTCATGAAAATTTAGGTTCTTTTTAAGCAAACTCAAATGTGACCTTTTTATGTATTTTTCGGAGTCCTGTGCTGGAAGTTTATACTTAATAATAAAAATGTAAATCTTAAAAATCTTTCAACTTCTTAAAAAAAATACAATTTAGAAAAAATAAACTGGTAACTTTATTTTTTGAGGTAAATTCCATCAAATTACTGGTCAGATTTTTAAAAGAAGATCTACGTAAAAAGTTATAAGTATTTGAAATTGCATGATTTTCATATGATTGGTCCAAATTTGAAACAAAATATGTTGATCAAAACTTATGATAATTTGGGCTGACTTTATGCATTATGATAATGCCAGCCTGAATTATTATAATATGAATCAAATGTAATTTTTTTTAAAAAAAATTTTTTATCAATATATGAATTTTATGAAATGGTAGTTGCGATTTATTGCTGAAATCTACTTTTTCTTATGTTTTATAATAAAAAATTTTCAAAAACCGTATTTTATTAGTACTTAATACAGTTATTATTAACTGAATTTTGGATCACATAATATAGAATCAGCTCAGAAAATTGAAACAAAATCATGTGATTGTCAAGTATAAACTTCTGGCACCATATTAGCATCATTATCATAATACTAAAATTTAGCATTAAAGTTTAATTTAAATAAACAAAAAAATAATTATATCTAACTAAGTTTTCAATTAAAAAACAATTTATAATACCAAAATAAATCTAATAGAATCTTGCTAATTTGCTCTTCAGGTAAAATCACCTAGGTGATTTCACTCATATATAACTGAAATTTATTAAAATCAGGTGATTTCACCCATGTATAAAATTTTTATTTTGATCTGCATATAAAAATAAATTTTACGAACATTTATTGTGAATAGAAAAATCTATAATCATGCTACATCAGGACTCCGAAATATACATAAAAAGGTCAAATTTGAGTTTGCATATAACTAGCCAAAAAAAAATATGAAAATCTTTCCTTTTTAGATAATTCCCAGTGAAAAGATATTTCCTTTTTTGGTCACTCGCCAAAATTATTATAATTCCAGTCCTAAAAGAATGTGTACAGCTATGATTAGTAAAAATTTTTTGGCTGCCTCTGACTTTTCTATATATATTTTGGGTTTCTGCTACATCATATATATGGCTTATATGATAACCCTTGATATCACTATTAAAGTTAAAAATAATTGAAAATTATACTGAAATTATAATGAACTAACGATAAAATTAAATGAGATTAAATGAATTCAGAAATAAAAATATACAAGGTTAAAATGAAATAAAACCAAAGAGAAGATAAATGAATAACTAAAATCGTAATAAAACTAAATCAAACATAAGTAAAAATGAAATCGTATAAAGAAGAAACCCAAAAAAGAAATTCAAAGAAAAAATCAAAAAATCTGAAGAAGAAACACAAAAAGAAATCCAAATAAAAACAAAAAAAAATCCAAAAAAAAAATCCAAAAAAAAACCTAAAAGAAACCCAATGAAATCCAAGAAGAAATCCAAAGAAAAGATCTGAAAAAGAAATACATTGAAACCTAAGAAGAAATTCAAAGAAGAAGTCTAAGGAAAAATCCAGCCAAAATATTAGAAGAAACCCAAATGAAAAATAAAACTGGTTAGTTACTGTAAAGAAACTAGACTTCTGAAATTCTGAAAAACTTGAAATTTACCATTTACTACATTTACTAGGATACCGAAGTTGAAAAATCTACAAAGAAAATGAATAAGTAAGGAACAATAGCAAATAAAAAAGTAAACAAATATTATAAAAAAAAAACTTACCTTCAAATGTCTAAAAAGAAAAAAAAAAGTGTTAATGAGCGCTAAAAGACGTTAAAAGACATTAAAAATGTCAAAAAATGTTGAAAGATGTTAGAGAACATTAAAAAAAGGTTATTCGTTATCTAATAAACAAATAACTGATAAACAAAAAAACAATCAGATGATATCACCTAGGCGATTTTACCCTGAGTGAAAATTAGTTATAATTAATAATATTATTTTAATAAATAAAAAAAAATTTATTAGTATTTTAATTAAAAATTTTGATCAAATTGATAAATAACAAAAAATCTGGCTTAATAATTACCTTTTTAAACTTAATGAAAATTGTTTATTTCATTAAATTATATTAAAAATAAAATATTTGCTAGTTAAAAAAAGGTTTCATTGGAAGTTTTATAAAAATAAAAAATATTTTTTTTTTTATTATAAAAAGTAATTTTCATGTAAAATGCAAATACTATTTAATTAACTGTCTTTTTTAACTTAAAAAACTTTTTTTCTCATAAAATTACATATATTTTTGCTATTTAAATTGTATTTTATATCTACTTTTAAGTATAATCAGAAGGAAAACTGTATTTTTAAAATGAACTTTTTTGTATATACAAAAAAAAAAAAAATATTACTAAAGTGAAAATGATAATGGAAATTTATAATATATATGACAAATTATACAAATTACTTAATTTGTGTAAGTATTG